CTGCTATTATTCCAGTAGCACATAATCCTAATTGAAATATTTATTTTTTCTATTACAGTTAAGTTTAAAACAATGCTTGGGTTGAAAATTCATAGCGAAAATTGATGTATACTTCTTTACGATTCTGCATATTGTTCCCACTAAAAAACATCTTGAAATTCTTAGTATATGGGAGAGTACAGAGGTAGGTGGAGGAAGAGCATTAACAGCCCGATCTGGCAGGAGTGAATTTTAGTCCAGGCATATGTTTCTCCTTAATATACTTTAGCCTTACTGAGGCTCTACCTGTCTTATCCCTTGTTCAAAATATGTTATCCTGAGCTATTTTTGTATTTGTGCTACTATATGTGTGGGCTGCTAGGGACCTCTTTTCCTTATCCTGCTTCATTCTATATCTATTCTCCCATTCTGCTGCATTTGTTTAGTTCCACTCATAAGTGTATTTTTTCTCTGCTTTTCCCAGTCACAGTAGCTTCATGTGGTTTCTTCCTGAGCGGTTGTGACTTGATCCTGGATTAAAATATCAGCTGTGTTGTTATCATCTCTGTTTATAGATGTTGAAGCTTGACCTGTTTCTGTCACAAGGCTCAGAAATTAAGGACTCAAATGCAAGCCCTGACACAGTGGATTAAAACTCAAAGTTCCTTTAACTCAGTCCAGGGTTGAACACCAAAAAATCCAGCAGAAACAGAGGTATAAAAAAAAACGGAGGCAAAGACAGGTCCAAATCAAAGCTGGGGTCAAAACACTAGAAAGCTAAATCTGACAGGCAAAAAGGCTGGAACGCTAAGCTCAAAGGACAAAGACGAACTGGCAAAGGGAAGCTGCAAGGGTGGGAACTAAATACTCTAACAAACAAAAGAGGAGCACATACACCAGGTGAATTGCATTAGGCTGTGGCTGATCCTGATTGCAGGAAGGAACTCAGGAAGTGAAGCTGCTTAAAACGAGAGAGGAAATGAGTACCAAAATAAAACAGGAAGTTAAAAGACAAGGTCAGACAAGTGACATGAATCTAATCAGGACTGCCCCTGACAGTTTCAAGTTTAGTTGTGTTTCGTTCATTTTGTTTAACTGTAAATACTTGCTTTCATCTTTGGAGAAGAGAACTGGCTTGGAGCTTGTCTGCCTGGCTGTTCTTTTCCCCCAGATGGAGCAACCTGTGGAGCTAGTTAACTGTCAGGCAGACATGGGCAATGTGGAGTCAACAAGTCATCTCCATGTCATGTATTTAATCTACCCAGCCAATTAACCAGGTGAGTCCAATCTTCACAGGTTAATTCACGGTGAAGATTGGACTCACCTGCTTCAGTGGCTGGGTAGAACAAATACATGACATGGAGATGACTTGTTGACTCCACATTGCCCATGTCTGCTGTCAGGATCTTGGCACTGATGACTGGCTTGATTGCTCATTCCATTCACATACCTAGCTTCGCCCAGCTTCTCATTACCGCTCTTCTGTTCCACCTTCCCCAGTCTCTATTTATCCTGCCTCCTTCCAGTCAACAGTGTCACATTATTAAAGCCCTTGTGACAGATTTCTAGCAGATATTTTGTTTTCTGATTGCCTGATGGTGACCTGTTCTGGCTGTTGACCTCTGCGCCTCTGAGCCTGTTTCTGTCCTGATCTATTTACCTGACCTGTCTTCTGAATCCTCCTGAAATCTGCCTGTTTGCCAAATCTGGAACTGCTTCCTGACAACTACCTCGATTTTCCTTTGCTACCTCTTCAGATCTCTAATCTTCTGGCCCCAACTCCCGTGAATCTCTTCGAGACCAGCTTTGGCCTGTCTTCTGACTCCTGCTGGATTCTGCCTGTTAACCACACCTGTCATTAAATGGTACAGGTTGATCCAATATTCGAGGTGAGACAGTTAGTAGATAAGTTCAAAACCTTTATTAAAACAAAAACATTAACAGACAGAACTACTTATACTTCAGCGATTGTATCTAGGTGTTACTTTATTGTATGCCTTGTTCCATGTCCCTTGGTTGTGCTGTTCTTTTTACATCTCTTTGCAGGTGATGAAGCAGACTGAAGTTGTTTTATCGTTATCTCCCCTTTACCTCTTCTTTCTTTCATCTTTTCTCCTTTTTTCTGTTTTTCCTTTCCTGTTCTACTTACATTGCAGTGTTCATCTAATCTGGAAAACTCCCTATAAGACAGCAATTTATATGCACAAATCAAGCGGAACACTATGGCGATAGCCGTACTGCTCCCCTTGTGAAAGTAAAAGCTGTTGGGCTCTTTTTGGCATCAAGACAATTATTCTTATTGCCACATTGCCAGACAGGACAAAAAACAAAACAAAAAAATATGTGTGCAGTTGATGTGGATCTGCAGACCTGCAGTGACTGCAGGAGGGGGGGCAGGGGTACTGCCAAATCACTTACACCCTGATTTAATAGGCAGGATCAGCTGATGCACTGCCAAGGAGATGTGGCCCTGAGTCACTCAGAGTGTCCCCAATGCTGCAGCCCCGGAGAACATGGAGGAGGCCGATCCTGGTCAGGGGAGAACAGATCAGGCAAGAACAGTTCAGGGATCCAGGAGTTCTCCGCTTGATCACAGGTTCCAACCCAAACAGGAACAGAGGGATCCAGGCTTCCAGGAATCCTCAGTGTGTGAAGGCAGGTTTGGAGTCAGATGGGTCCAGAAGCTTGCCTAGACGGACATGAACAGATGCAAACAGTGGCACCACCCAATCAGGTTCAGAGTCCTGTGCGTCGAGCAACCAGCTCAGAGAGAAATGCACAGACACAGACAGGCAGAATCCAGCAGGAGTCCAAAGGTGGTTCTGGCCAACAGATCAGACAGGGACAAACAGGGGCAGTGGATGAGAGGGAACAGGAGATCAGAATCACAGAGGAAATGCTGAAACGCTCTCACTACTTGCTAAGGAAAAAACTCGCCTTTGTCATGATTATATTAACGGTCTGACCCCAAGATGCAGAAGACCAAACAGAGAGACCAGGGAAAAGTTTGAACAGGTTTATTTAGGAAAAATGTGATGAAACCAGTGCTGCTCAGAGTAGAAGGGAATGAGTCCAGTGTTGCTCTGAACACTGCTCAACCGGAACTGAAAGGTGAGGGTAAGACACTGTGGTTAGTTCAGGCTCGGTGGGAAATTAGAATCTTTGGTTTGAATTGGAGGAAAAGGTTGCAGACTCACTTCTCCAGGAAAAGTTGTCCTTTATGGAATCCAGTCTGTGAGGGATGGTTCCAGTGATTGTCTTGTTTGATGTTAGGTGGACGGGGTTTACTCAGACGGAGAAGGTGACTGCCACTCAGATTTCCTGCGGGACTTGAACGGGCTGTGGTACAGATGAAACCTTTGCTCGGCGTGAAGCTCAAATTACCTCTTTGGGAAAGTGGATCCAAACTTCCTGTTTGGAGTGAACGGAGATGCTGACTGCCACTCAGATTTCCTGTGGTACTTGAACGGGCTGTGGTACAGATGAAACCTTTGCTCGGCATGAAGCTCAAATGACCTCTTGGGGAAAGTGGATCCAAACTTCCTGTTTGGAGTGAACGGAGATGCTGACTGCCACTCAGATTTCCTGCGGTACTTGAATGGGCGGCAGTGCAGATGCTTGGTGTGAAGCTCAAACGACCTATTGGGGAAAACTTCCAGTTTGGGATGCCAGCTCAGTTAGAAGCTCAGCTGATCCTTCCAGAAAGAGAAGGTCCGAAAAAATCCAGCATGCAGGATGACTTCCTGCCGAGAGGCAAGGACAAAAAGGTTAAGACTCAGGTTGACAAAAACTCAGTTAAACTCAGCAAGACTCAGCTTGGCTAGAGTATCCAAAACTGGCAAACAAATCTCAGGTTAGACTCTGCTTAACTAAGCATGGCTAGAGTACCATGTGTTGGCAAAACAAAGACTCAAGTTAGACTCTGCTAAACAAAGCATGGCTAGAGTACCCTGTATTGGCAAACACTCTGGCGTCGAGGTAGTGGCAGTCAGCAGCTTAAGAATACTCCACAGGTAATGAGGCAATGAGCTGCAGATGTGCAGGGAGACCCAATGAGGATGGGGCACCACCTGGTGGAGGAGGAAAGGAAACATAAAAACAGACCCAACAAACTGGATTCCTGACACAGATGGTACCACCCAGTCAGTCCATGATTATGTCAGCCACATTCTCCCAGATGATGGCACTCCCACAACACCAGAAAAGAAAGCACAAAATATATTACGCATTTGACTAAATTAAATATACAAAAGTTACCGAATGTGCATGCTACAGTTGGGACTAATGTAATCCAATATTGTCAAAATAAACCAATACATTTATGCTACTGTGTATTAAAACTTATGAAAAAGTGGTTGTGTGTGGGGTTACTAACCATGTGACCATCACAGCATCACTTCAGTTCAATTTCATTCAGTTTATTTCTATAGCGACAATTCACAGGTCATCTCAAGGGACTTTACAGTTCACCAAATCAGACAGTGAGATTTATTCAAAGTTTTCTATCTATGGAAAAGTGGTTGATTGCATTGACTCGAAGGCAATCCCTCACACTAAGCACTTCTGTGTAGGCACTTCAGTTCTTTCCTGCTAACACAGTGTGATAAAGTTAAGGTATTGAGTTCGTTGTTCATTCATATACTAAAATGTTTTACCACTGAGAAAATCTTATGACTACCTCCTTATGCTAAGTGTCAGTGGGGGACCATGAGTCCTTACTAGTATAAATAAAATTTGAGAATATCTATGTCATAGCACTATCATGGGCACTATAAGTGATATATGGGTGTTCTTTATCAATCAATATAAATATTCAAAAAACATTATTAAAGAAAACACAGCTGGTTGTCACTGTTTTTTTATGAGAGAAACAAGAATTTAAATGTTAAAGCCACACTAAACAGGATCTGATCACATGGGTTTCCATGGGGACAGAAATGTGAGGTGGAGAATAAGTAGACCAGTCAGTTAAATCAGCTTATAGAGCCTCATCAGTATCCAGGAGCTGCTGCCCCATGATAATGGGGGAGACTGAGCTCTGCTTTCCACAACTCTTTAACACTTCATGCAGCAGACCAAAACGTACTTACTTTGAAACTATGATAACCTACATTCTGGTGTTTTCCATCTCTCTACTCACCTCATCTCTAAATCTGTTGGTCATCATGTCTATCTCACACTTCAGGTTTCAAATGAGTTAGAAAATTTAACAATTATGATTGAAACTGCTGTAAATTAGTTTGGGGTTTTAAAGTATAGCACCTCTGCTTTTTTTTACAAATTTATTATGGATTACACAGACTAGAGAAAGTAAATCTGCTTTTGTTTTGCTCCACAGGCAGCTCCACTCTCCCACCAACCTGCTCCTTCTTTCTCTGGCCGTCTGTGATTTCTTTATTGGTCTTCTCATGTTCTTTCAAATTGCTCTGATAAATGGCTGCTGGCTTCTGGGGGACATTGCCTGTGTCAGTTATAACTATCTGGCTTATGTTTTTACCACTGCCTCAATAGGAACCATGGTGATGATATCTATTGACCGTTATGTAGCTATATGTTACCCCCTTCATTACAACACTAAAATAACACAGAAAAAAGTGAAGATATGTGTTTCCCTGTGTTGGACCTGGTCTATGGTGTTTCAGAGCTTAAATTTAATGGATAACTTCAAACAACCAGGCATGTATAACTCCTGCTTAGGTGAATGTTTGATTGTCATTAATTACATTAGTGGTATGGCAGATCTTATTTTATCGTTTATAGTGCCCATCATTATAATAGTAGTTTTGTATTTCAGAATATTTGTGGTGGCAGTTTCTCAGATTCGAGCTATACACTCTCACACTGCAGGATTAACCCTCCATGGTTCTGTAAATGTGAAGAAATCTGAGATTAAAGTAGCCGGGTCCCTCGGGGTTGTAGTCATTGTGTTCCTGATATGTCTGTTACCAGTATTCTGTGTCACACTTACAGGTCATAATACTTTACTTAATACCTCGGCCGCTGCTTTTGTGATATGTTTATTCTACTTTAACTCTTGCCTAAATCCTATTGTTTATGCATTTTTCTACTCCTGGTTTCGAAAATCAATTAAACTCATTATAACACTGCAGGTTTTTCAAAGGAACTCCCGTGACATGGACATGCTGTAAAAACCCTGCTTCAAAGTCGTCTCACTAAGAAAATGTAGATCTTCATATTTTCATACTTTCATATTTTTATCTAAAGTTTCAGTAATCTAACTGTCAAACAATATAGATTGGTTCTGGCATCTGACACTGCTATTTTACATGTATCCAGTTTTCTTGCTGTTGTAACACACATTATGCTGTTAGGAGGAAAGGAAGGGGTCATTTATTCTCTTCGCATTCACTATATCTCATAATTTTGTATTCTTGGGTTTACTCTATTTACAAAAGAAGCTGAAACCCTAACAGATTTTGTTGTGTTGTTTTCCAGGGACACTTAGTGGATTTTGTCTGTGAGTTTTAGCAGATTTATTATAGATTAAATACTATGTTAACTGATCTTTTACTTTAGCGAAAGCACATACTTTTTTCCGCTTAATCCTCAAATCCTTTTGGACAAAGTTGTTATGTGGAACTTTAGAACTTTATACCTGTATTTTGTAAAAATTCAACTCAACAAATTATGATTTGGCTTTAAAAAGAATGAAATACACCTTAAATCTTTCTTTATGACTTTGAGCTTTATGGCATTTTATTTTAGTTCAATGTGAAAATGCACAGAATTGAGAGACTTACACAGAAAAAATATATCTTGGATCCTTTGGACTTAATGTTAATCTTTCTTACTTTCAAATAAATGTATGCGATGGTTGAAATGATAAATTTTGATTAATTAAAATGTTTTTACCTTCAGAGAAAACGTGCTTGCATACAAAGTCAAATTTTTATTTTATAACAGATCATAAACCATTTTTTTGCTTTGTTATTACTGAATTTTTCAATTTGAAAAAAAAAAGTTAAAAAAAAGTTTCAAAAGTTAGTTACGTTACAACTAACGTTACAACTAACTGTTAGTTGCTCATGGTGTTGCAATGCTGGTCACAGCTCTTGAATCAGGTAATGAGGATACATTCACTTGAGTTACAACATTTGTAGGGATAAACTCCTAGTGACAGTATAACCTCTCTTTGTTTCAGCTGGTCCCGACCGGAACCAGAACCCCTGGGGCCAGCTAAGCTAACGGGTCTTTCAGCCTCATCATAGCAGGGTTGCCAACTTTTCACCAAACCTTGGGGTGAGATTTTGAAATAGTTTGTATCAAAGAGGATTAGGGACACTGAAAAAAAAGAAAGAAGAGTTGACTGATTTTTACATTTTATTTCAGTTTAATATGGGAAAATTTGGTCTTCACTTTTGCTTATTTTCAGTTGTGTTTAGTGTTTGCTTAGTTATTAGATATAATACTGTGTGACTGTAGCTAATAAAGGTACCATTGTATCTTATCCTGTGGTCTTTTGTGTTCATTTCACACAGTGAACAATTTATCACTCAGGCTGGATTCAATCTACTTTCAGTAGCATCTGAATGAGACACATTTATTTGGTTGTGATTAATAACGTTGCTAAGAGCCATAGCCTAAATTACTAAAGTGGTGAAAGACAACTGGATTTTTAACAGCCAGATTCAAGAGTCCAACCTTTTAGGTAAGAGTCTAAAATCCTGGTCAGTAAGCAGATTACAGTTATAATCATTCAAGTGATAATAAATGACTAGTTTTACCCTTGATTAGAAGTACCTAGTAATTTACTACAACTCGCAATTCTAGTTATTTAGTATGTTCATAATCTTCTGGTAAGCTGGCATAGCAATACTTTGCTGAAAATGAGAATTGAGGATAAGTAATTTATTTTAAATCCCCTAATAGTATACATTTATATTACTGAATATTATAGTTATATTACATTTTATATGAATGCCTCTTAAAATATATAATGTAAATTACAACCTGGAGAGACTCACACAAAGAAAAGGTACAATTAGGAAGGTTTTATTGACATGTATGAAATAAGTTCTTTAGTGCATGGACCCTGACAGAAGACAGTGATGCTGTGAAATGACCTTCACTTGGATGAGTAACATAGGGAAAGGATTAGAGCAGTTGTCCCCCCAGGGCCTGGACAGTGGTGGTGGAATAAGTCAGATGATGAGTGGGACTGAGAATATCCTAAAAGTGAGGGAGAAGATTGGGCAGAGGTTGGTGAAAGTTCAGCTGGCATGCAGGATAGAAGCTGGGTCAGAAGCTATGATTGGTTTCTGAGGGGATGTGGTCCCAACCTTGATTAACTGGAACTGCAAATTGGCATACCAGTAGATGGCCCAGGTGAGGCTGATAAGGGTCTTCCAGTTTTACCAGATTTAAGGGTCTACCAGACTTTCAGTAAATAAAGGGGACATTATTGCAAATGATTAACCATAAACTGGTAATCTTATTAATCTTGAAAGGTGCTTAAAAAATATATATATATTATTGCTTAACTTATTACATTTCCCTAAGTCAGTTACATCTCCATAAACCTCTAGTCTGGCCAGAAAGACTCGACATTCGGCATAAGGATATGGGTGTACAATATGTGAATATTAAATTGTGAAGAATTAGAATGTGTAGAAAATCTGCCAGAGTGAGGATATAGGAGCAGTGTTTAGGTCACATTCTTAAAAGAAGTCTGTTGTGGTCGGAAATTAAGCTGAACTATGTTCTGTAGTGTTGCTCAGACTCCCTCCTTCTGAGCAAAATTCTCTTTTCTGTGAAATTTATATGTTACTCTAATTGTCAAGAATCACTTTTAAACAGCTTCTTCCACTGCATATATCTACTGGGCACTTGTCGCATTCAAGCAGTATCTCTAAATCTCCCTGTTTCTCGCTTGCTGTAGTAGTAAGGGATTACTACGGAAGCCAAGAGCCTTCTCGAGATAATGACATAACTATCTCGTTATCATGGTTTAACAATTCATTGTTTTCTCGAGATATTAGATAATTACCTTGTTATCAAGACAAAACAGTTATGATTTCTTGAGATAACGAGATGCTTAAACTGTCTGAGTAATGAATGAGGCTGGCCAACAGCCCTGGATTCACTTTCCATCCATGCCTGCTGTGCCTGCAGTTGTGCAGGTGCGGTACCGCATGTGCACAAATAATCAGTCTTTCTTTTCATTCATTGTCAGGACATGATGGATGATTGGATTGCATGAAATACAATAACAACAAATCTGACTATTTTTTAATGAAAAACTTTAATCTGGACTATTTTTGGGGGTTAATGCATACTTGTTACAGGTGGAACTTCGGGGCTGTTCAGAGAATAACCAGCATAGGTCTAATTGCTTAGAAATCAGAAGTGGAAGCTAATCATCAAACCAACAATGTCGTTTTATCACCTATAAGTTAAACATTGGATTATTTACAGAATTAAATATACTGTATCTTCACGACTATAAGGCGCATATCAACGTCTTTTTTTTTCCCTCAAAATGTGCGGCGCGCCATATAGTGCGGTGCGCCCTATGTGTGTTACTGCGGACGTTGTTGAGACCACCATGAGAACGTTAAAGGGGGAAGTGTGGGCGTGGATTGTTTATAAAAGAACAGGTATGTGCTTTATGCAGAACTCCTCATCTCCTCATTGAGGAGATGATGAAAGAGTGGCTGAGGGAGGTGTATGTAAGGTGACCAGGTGGTTTTTTCCACGCATCACCATCGCAGTTAATCTGTGACTCCATGCGTTCCCATCTCACAGCCGATGTGAAAAACATGGTGAAACAAATGAACGCCGTGCTTGCTGTTATTCTAGGAGGTCTGACAAAGGAACTCCATCCGCTCGACATTGGTGTGAACCGGCCATTCAAAGTAATGCTACGTTCACGCGTCTGCTGCTTAATTTTTGCTGCTTGTACCAGTTAGTTCTGACTCGCGGCTGAAGCAGCTTTGCTGCTCTAGCTGCGCGGTGCAAAAGTGTGTCTGACGCGCGTTGGGCAGCGCTGCTCTATCCTTTCTTTGCCTTGTCAGTAGAAATCCCATTCAACAGCAGCCTCTGGCTGGGTCGCATCCTCGCGGTTCACCACGGCAGCTGGTAGGCGAAGAAATTTTATTGTAATCCAAAGGGGGGCCCAGAAGAAAATCTTTGGGAACCACTGCCTTACAGAAACCTGGGTGCCACAAGCAGAAGCGAGAATCTTTCGGTCTGATTAATTGATTAGTCCAAAGCCAGTTAAGAGTTACAAATCTTTTAAACATTTACCCCTTTGTTTCCCCCATCCAAATTGTAAAGCAACAAAACCTCTTCTGCTTTTAACCTTCTATTGTCCGCCAGGTCCTTACTCTCAATTTTTAGATCCATTTTCAGAAATCTTATTTGAGTTACTGTTAAACTCTTACAAGGTAGTTGTAACATTCATGATTTTAACATTCATGCTGATATTGAAGGTGATGGCTTAAATGCAGCCTTTAAAGCTATCTTAGACTCAATTGGCTTTGTTTAGAATGTGAATAGCCCCACGCATTCTCATATTCTTGCATAATCTCAGCACTAATGATTTCTCTCAAGATGCACTTGCTCAGCTCTGTCACATTTTCATTACTAATAATCTGATCCACCTGAACCGTACATGACCAGCCTTAAGACCAACCATCAGTGCTAGATTACTAAGCCATTTTGTTATCTTGTTATCTTCCAGCATTTTGATTCCTTACTTTCTGCTTGTTTGCCTGACCTGATCTGTCCCTGTTTCTGAATCTGCCTGATCCCTGTCAGATCTGCCTACCCATTTGCTACTTGGAACTGTTTGTCGACCTCGCCCTGGTGCTTCTTTGGACTGATTACCTGGCTCTGACCCTGGACTAGGCCCCCGTGTCATGTTTTAAAGCTTAAGTGTGTAATTTTCAGCGACATCTAACGTCCTGACTGCAGACCGCAGCAACATGAACATCTCCCCCCACCGCTTCTCCCCCCCAACAGTACGGCGAACGTTACAGGACAAAATGTCTTCCACGACGTCCGCATCACCTACCTTCTCCAGTGATGAGGTTTGTTTACATAGATAACTTCTGCAAAACAAACTTTTGTAACACATTTCTCTTCAGTTTTAGAACTTATAGAGCCAGACTGGATGAGAAAGCCTGCCTTGTTGCCCTGCCCTGGTTGCTGTTAACCTGGCTGCTAAGCTGCTGCTGGGTGAAGCTCAACATTCCAAATGGACATGGACAAAAGGTCTGCAGGTCTGGCGCAATTAGGGACAGAACAAACAATATGTCTTTTGATGATTTTGTTAATTTCATGTGTTTACTGATGAGTAAAGACAAAGCTGCAGTAATATGCTTTGAGCTGTTGTTGAAGCTTGGACAAGCTTTATTTCACAATGTGTTTAAACACTGATATAACAGTAGTGGTCACGTGTTCCTTATATCTTCATAACATTTCCATTAACAAGTATGACCAAAAGTAATTTAATGGATTACGTATGTCTATTCACTGATAGCTATTTCAAAGAGAGTAAAAAATCATCAAAAAACATCCCTCTCCCCAGCCACTTCGACCAGCTCCTCTGGGGGAATCCCAAGGTGCTCCCAGTCCAGCCGAGAAACATAGTCCCTCCAACGTGTCCTGGGTGTCATCCTGGGCCTCCTCCGCGTGGGACGTGCCTGGAACACCTCACCAAGGAGACACCCAGAAGGCATCCTAATCAGATGCCTGAGCCACCTCAACTGACTCCTCTCGATGTGGAGGAGCAGTAGCTCTACTGTGAGTCCCCCCCGGATGACTGAGCTCCTCAGCTTATCTCTAAGAGAGAGCCCAGACACACTATGGAGAGAACTCATTGCTGCTGCTTGTATCCGGGATCTCATTCTTTCGGTCGAGACCCAAAGCTCATGACCATAGATGAGGGTAGGAACGTAGATCAACTGGTAAATCGAAAGCTTTACTTTTTGGCTCAGCTCTCTCTTCACCACAACAGGGCCCGCTTCACAGCAGACGCTGCACCAATCCGCCTATTGATCTCCTGCTCCATCTTCCCCTCATTCGTGAACAAGAACACAAGATACTTAAACTCCTTCACTAGGGGCAGTACATCCTCCTCAACCTGGAGAAGGCACTCTACCCATTACCGGCTCAAGACCATGGTCTCGGATTTGGAGGCACTGATCTCCTGTGGTTATTGAGCACAAATCCATCTTAAACTGTAATATGGTGTTCAACCATATTTCCCGTTCCTCTTTGTACATAATAGTTTAGTTTGAGTTTCACTAGCTTTAGTTAAGAGTTTTAAACTGAAATATGTTTGACTCGGAGCGGAATGATTTTTGTTAATAAACTCATATTTTATGGTGAATTTATTCCATGTATGTGCAAAATTTACTGTTTGACCATGATTTGAGCTTGAATCACTCTTTCATTTAGTGTTCTAACAAGCAGCTAGTAGGGCGTGTGTTCATAAACAATATATAACAGCCGTAATAATATCTGATTAAATAAGATATTTACCACCCCTAATGGGGAGGGCAATAAAGATTGTAAAGTATCAGAAAATATAAATTCCCTGCTGGCTGGGAATTGAAAATAACAGTAATTCACAACATTGATATGGCATCCAACCTGAATTGGCATTGAATATAAATCCACAACACCCTTAACTCCTAATTGCTCCCCGGGCGCCGAACAATGGCAGCTCACTGCTCCCAACGTGGATAGGTTAAATGCAGAGGTACATTTCTCCACTGTGAGATCAATAAAGTTAATTTATTGTTATTATTATTATTTAAGATGTAAAAACATCTTATCACATGGGTTTCCATGGGGACACAAATGTGGGGTGGAGAATAAGTAGACCAGTCAGTAAAATCAGCTGATATAGCCTCATCAGTATCCAGGAGCTGCTGCCCCATGATAATGGAGGAGACTGAGCTCTGCTTTCCACAACTCTTTAACACTTCATGCAGCAGACCAAAACGTACTTACTTTGAAAATATATTAATTTACATACTGCTGTTTTCCATCTCTCTGCTCACCTCATCTCTAAATCTACTGGTCATCATCTCTATCTCACACTTCAGGTTTCTAATGAATTAGCAAATCTATCAACAATGATTGGAATTGCTGTAAATTAGTTTGGGGTTTGGAGTACAGCAAATATGCTTTTATACAAAAAATAACATATTTCACAGACTAGAGAAAGTAAATCTGCTTTTCTTTTTCTCCACAGGAAGCTCCACTCTCCCACCAACCTGCTCCTTCTTTCTCTTGCTGTCTCTGATTTCTTTACTGGTCTCCTCATGTTCTTTCATATTGTTCTGATAAATGGCTGTTGGCTTCTAGGTGACATTGCCTGTGTCATATATTACTATCTGGTTTATGTTTTCACCACTGCTTCAATAGGAACTATGGTGATGATATCTATTGACCGTTACGTAGCTATATGTTACCCTCTTTATTACAACACTAAAATAACACTGAAAAAAGTGAAGATATGTGTTTCCCTCTGTTGGACTTGGTCTTTGGTGTTTCAGAGCTTAAACGTGATGGAGAACTTCAAACAACCTGGCATGTATAACTCCTGCTTAGGTGAATGTGTCATTGTGATTAATTACATTGGTGGTATGGTAGATCTTATTCTCTCCTTTATAGTCCCCATCACTATAATAGTGGTTTTGTATTTCAGAATATTTGTGGTGGCAGTTTCTCAGATTCGAGCTATACACTCTCACACTGCAGGATTAACCCTCCATGGTTCTGTAAATGTTAAGAAATCTGAGATTAAAGTAGCCGGGTCCCTCGCGGTTGTAGTCGTTGTGTTCCTGATATGTCTGTTACCAGCATTCTGTGTCACACTTACAGGCCAAGATATTTTACTTAATGCCTCATCCTCTGCTTTTGTGTTAAGCTTGTTCTACTTTAACTCCTGTCTAAACCCTATTGTTTATGCATTCTTCTACTCCTGGTTTAGAAAATCAATTAAGCTCATCATAACACTGCAGGTTTTGCAAAGTGATTCCCGTGACATAGACATGCTGTGAAAACCCTGCCTTAAAGTGGTCTCACTAATAAAATGAAGATCTCCATATAGCCATAAAAACAAACGAGCATAACTAAATGAGGGGCAAGTATCAAACTCATTCTTAAAACTATAACTATATTGTTAGCTTAAGTTTTTTTTAGAACACTTACTGTCAAACAATATAGATCAGTTTTGGCATCTGACACTTGTATTTTCCATGTGAAAATTTCCTTGCTGTGTTAAACACACACCATCCTGTTAGGAGGAAACAAAGAGGTTATTTATACACTATATCTCATCATTTGTATCCTTGGTTTTACAGGAACACCTGCAAGAATTTTTTTGTTTGGGACTTTTAGCAGATTTAGTATAGAATAAATACTATGTTAACTGATCTTTTACTTTAGCAAACACAAATACTTTTTTCCCCTTAATCCTTAAGTCCTTTTGCATAAAGTTTTTATGAGCAATTTAGAAATTTTAAATATGTATTCTGTAAAAACTCAACTGAATGAATTATGGTCACTTTTGGCTAAGATTTGGCTTCAAAACAGATGAAATACTTTTTTTATGACTAATAAAAGTTTGTCACTGTCATGATTTATTTAAGGATCTGACCCAAAATGCAGAGAACCACTCAGAGAACAAGGCAAAGGTTTAAACAGGTTTATTGATAAAACCAGCGGGGGTTGAATTCAGAAAACTCAGTGTACTCAGAGGGCTGGTAAACCGGAACTGGAAGGGAGGAGGAAAGTTCACAGAGGTTAGTTCAGGTACTGTGGGAATCTTGGATGCCGTAAGGATAACTCTAGTGAGGGACTCATGATTCCTGACAGTCACAAAGCATAGGCCAAGCCTTTTATTTTAGCTCAATGTAAAGATGCACGGAATTGAGAGACTTACACAGAAAAAGATATTATTTGGATACTTTGGACTTAATGTGATTTCATACACTTTATTACTTTTACATACATTTATAAGATGATATAAATTTAACATATTAAAGTGTTAAAAGTATAAATTTTAATTTATTAGAAATATTTTAACTTCAGAGAAAAAAGGAAACTGCACTCATTCAAAGAAAAATGTTATCTTATAAATGATCATAAACAAGTTTTATGTTTTGTGATATAAGTTAATTTTTTAATTTGGAGAAAAATAATTTTTACCAGTACGTATAAGGAATAAATTTACTTAGGAATCAACTAATGAATAAAATGTAAAATTGTGTTTTATCTCAAAGAGTAATTAAATTACTTTGGACCAACTATATGTATTGACCACAGACACAGGATTTATAATTCATGATAATTTAGAGGTTGACCTTTAGTTTTTAGTTAATGTTTTTCAACAAGATAAATAGCCTTAAATGCCTCTGAGATCTTAAGATTGTCTCCGTATGATATGTGATACATTTCACTTAATGACACTAATCACACTCGAGAACAGCATGCAACAAAACAACATTTGAGCAGGCATAGAAAGGATCGGGGTCTTTCTCACACCCCTGTTCTCCGGTTGCCGCCTGGAGTCAGGGGCCTGGGAGAAGAGCGGACCACTTGGTCCGAGGTCTTAGCTGGGGGTTGTTACGGGTCCTGGATGGCTTGCTGATACCGGGGCCGGGGTATGGCGGGGGAGAAAGTGGACCTGTGAGTAACTTCGGGGGGAGCGAGGTTCTGGTTGGATGGCACCTCATGTTGGCCCCATCGCCGGGGGGTTGTGCAGGGGGTCGTCTGGTTGGGTGCGGAATGGAGGGTCGGGTCCGAAGCAGGAACTAGATGGGTTGGATTGTGGCAGTGACACTGCTCCCCTCCATACACTGGCTGGCACTTGGGCTCACTGGTTCAGCTCA